AACGCTTGATGCCTCTCTTTCTTCTTCTGAATCTAAAGAAAATGAATGGGCAATTTATTGTGGGTCCACGCTTAATAAGTTGCATTAGGTGAACACTGGTCAAATATGGCCGAACATTTACCCCTTTTTACTGTATTTCAAATAGCATTTGGATATATGTGGTTACCAATTTCTTCCTGTAGTGCAGAACAAAGTTTTTCTAAATATAATTTTTAATTGACAAAATTTATCTAAAGTCTTTACGAAGTTTAAATATGCTTTATTTTAATGATAGTATAGTTTAAATATTTAGCATTTCTATTTTGTAATATTTTTTAAATAAGAAATAATAATATTAATAACTAATAACTATTCTTTCTGAATGCATAGATATTATGACAGAAATTACGCAGAATATAGTAATAGTGTTTTTTAAATGCATGACATGCACGCAGAATTTGTTTTTAGCACGAACAGAATTAATAATAATAATAATAACGGATCTTGCTCTATAACAATCTGAAAATTTATATGTCCCATCACTGTCTATAATAGAGAGTGAACTGTGTATTAATATTTAACACTACATTACCATTTATATGCTTGACTTGGTTGTAATTCTATTAAAAAAACAAGTAATTATGAATATTGTGAATATTTAATCATAATATTAATAAAAACATATATCGTTTGTGTTTTTACCCACTCATTCGCAAAAGTTAAAGATGTTTTCTTGGCAACCTACATCACAAATGTTGGTTTTTTGGTACTGAAATGAAGAGAAAACCTTAAAATAAGTATTTATAAAACTTATTTGCAAGATTTTTATTTTATTAACCTTCAAAGTGAAATATTATTCTCAAAAATTATTTTGGTCACTTCTTATAAAAATGTATAAGACCACTCTACCTTCATTTGAATCACATTAATTAAATTAATTAAGATAACTTTCAATTAATCAATATCAAACATTAACAGATCGCCCGTCGTTAATGAATTAAAAGGAGTGCTTCTTAGACAAGCAAGAGATGCAATAGATGTTGTAGTGGGATATTCAAAAGATGGATTCACGCCTGGCGCAATAGATACAGCCAAAACATCGATATACGATATTATTTTCATGGATGAGATGGATTTGCGTATAGTAAGTAATATATTTATTAGATGTAGTCAATTAATAGATTCAAATTTTCTTGTAATATTTTTTTATCTCACTTTTTTAATGGGTTTTTCATATTTTTTATGCAAATATTTTTTATTGTAAGTTTTATCTATGTGAGTACTATTGTATATTGACGATTTATCCCTTGTAAATATATAGATTCTTTTTTTTTGTATATATTTTGATCAGGCAAATGGTGCTTTATTAATATTATAAAAAAGAATCACATTGTAGTTACATGATGCAAATACAAATAATTATTCCTTTGGTTTTATGAGAATATGATATTTAGGAACCCTCGGCTGTTGATTCCACAGGATTAATTATGTAGAGATCGAAATTAGTGAAAAGATCTGATGACCTTGATTTTTCGACACGCCTTCAACTGCAAATTTAAGCACAGTAACCCTATCTTCCTTGTATACTTCAATTTTAAAATAATTACCTTCTGAAAACGACACTTGATTACAATGTGATCGTTGGATACGTACGATTTTTTTTAAAAAAATAAACTTGATTAAGAGGATCTTGTAAATAACTTCTTTGATATCAATCCCTTTGTCACCCGGTTCTCTGGATAATTGATAAACAATAATGAGTATAATACGTCATCATCATCAAGAACGCATTAAATAATGTGACCGCGAAGATCCTTTCATTCATAATCAGTGTATCCTATTCATCATAAATTCCCAGTCCCTGGGCATAGCTCAAGAACATCAAAAACTGGGAAGAACGTTCACGGCCAAAACCGTGGCCATGAAGGGCTTTCAATTCCCAGACATTTTACACCTAGTGGCAGCGTAACTTCAGACACACAACTCGACAAAATAGCACTCACCCTGTATGCTCGTATTCAACCCCAGTTTCTCTCAACCTCCTAAAAACTGTAAGTTCGAGTTTTCTTCCCTTGGCAACAGCTGACAACATAGTAAAATTTTTAAATGTATTTGTTTAAAAAAAAAAATTAAAAATACATCTTACGCTTAAAACTGTTTATAATCAATTGAAAACGTATACAGAACATGCCTATAATCTTGGAATGGAATAAGTCAGCGTCGTTATTATTATATAATGCGATAAAAAAATAAAATAAAATTACATAACTGCCTATTTTATCATTACATTTCTAAGAATAGTAATAGGAATTTCACAATTACTAATTTCGGGGGTATTATTTAGATTCCTTTTTATAACCATTCACATTTTTTTTATCTTAAAAATGAATCCAATATTTGAAAAGTATTTTAATGAGAATGAAAGATTATTAAACACTAAAGACTTTTATGATGTAAAAATAAAAGTTGGTGTAGAACCAAATATTAAAGAAGTTCATGCGCATGCATCTATCATATCAGCTCATTGTCCATTTTTTAGCAATGAATTAAGTAATGCAACAAAAGAAAATGGATATTATATTATTAAGAAAACTAATATCAGTGAAAAGCTTTTCAGCCCTATTCTCAAGTAAGTTTAAATAAATTTATTATTCAATTTATTGTTATTGAATATGTAATAATTCCAATATTCTTAATTTATTTATTTTTTTGTAAGATTTTTATATACATGTAAAATTGAATTTGAAAATTATTCTGGTGCTGAAGTATTGGAATTATTAACTGTAGCAGATGAATTTGGTATTGAGTTGCTTTATGAATATATGATGAAATATTTTATTGAAAATTATGATGATTATATAAAAGAAAATCCAGTTAAAATTCTACAATTGATTTATGCTAATGAAAATTTTAAGGAATTGAAAAATATTTACTTGGAAAAATTTTGTGAATATAGTGAAAATTTATTTGGATCAGATGAATTTGAATCATTGGAAAAACCAATTCTATTGGAAATTCTCAAAAGAGATGATTTTTTTGTTCGTGAGACAGTTATTTGGGAAAGCATTCTTAAATGGGGATTAGCAAAACATCCTGAAATCAACAATATCAATGTTGAAGATTGGTCATCACAAAATTTTGCTGATTTAGACAATGCATTAAAAGAATTTATTTCTCTAATAAGGTTTCAGGATATCTTTAAAGAGGATCTTTTTAATAAAATTGATCCATGTAGTACACTTTTACCTAAGACTTTATGGAAATCCCTTTTACAATCTCATTTATTTCCTGATAGACAACAAACATTAAAGTTATTACCATCAAGACATTCTAAATTAGAATCATTGACAATCAACCAAAACCTTATTTTGCTTTTTGCAAGTTGGATTGATAGAAAAATTTCATCATATACTTCACTCAGGGAAGTCAAATACGAATTCAAACTTCTATATCGTAGTAGCAGAGATGGTTTAACTGCTGCTACTTTTCATCAACAATGTGATAATATCAACAAAACTCTTGTAGTTGGCAGAATACAAAACTCAGAGCAAATAGTTGGTGGTTATAATCCACTTAATTGGAATGGAAATGGTATATGGAAAATTACAGAAATAGTATCAATACTACACAATCTAGTTATGTTATCAATAATAATAATGCAATTTATTGTTGTCATTATAATTTGCCAGTTTTTGGTGGTGGTCATGATATTTGGTTTAACATAATTGGTAGTGTTAGTAGTTATCCATAAAATAATGTTAATATAGTAAATGGTAGTAGATTTGATGAATTGGAAGTTTTTCAAATAATTGATAAAAAATAAAAATATTAAATACAATGTTGGATTATTATTATATTTCTTTATATATTTTTCATTGTTTTTCATTATTTTCATTGATTACTTTATTTACAATAACATGAGACCATGTTTAACTGATTATTACTACATATTGTGAAGAGACAAAAATGCAAATAACTAATAAAAATTTTTCATTGGAAATTCAATCAACTTAATGAACTTCTGGTCTTTGCTATGAAAAAGTGAGGGGTAGAAGACAACTTCATTCAAGTTCTCGCTTGATTGAATGGGGAGGAATAAAAACAAATCCTTAAAAATCATAATAAACTTTAAAAAAAATAAACATTATTTTATTTTCTGTTTAAAGCAAAGTGCTTGATAAAAAGGAACAATTGTGAAGCTTTGATGAAAACTCATGTTTTATTTGTTTAGTAAGCAAAAGTTACGACTAACGTTGAGTGGCTAGTGAATGTTAGCAACGATTAGTAAATGTTGTTTAGCAAGCAAAGGTTAGGACTAACGTTGGGTGTTAACAACAATTAGTAAACGTTATTCGCTTTAATGAAGTATTATCTAAAGATTGTTTGTAAGTACCGTTAGTGTATTGTAATAAAATTGTTATAGTAAATATAAGGCTGTTAAACGGGCCGTTTAAGTTGTTTTGTAAATAAACTAAAGCGAGTTTGCAATCAGCCAAATAAGTAAAAACGACCGAAATGAATTAGCTACAAGTGAATAATAAAAGGAACTTTATAAAAGCTTTTGAGCTTTGTACTTCGTTTGTTTACAGCCATCCTATATCATTGAGCGTGTTACAGATTTGCCAAAGCTTTCTAGGTGGAGGAAAACTAGAACCAAAGTAAATTTGTAACCTAATTAGTTGACAAGCGCCAAATTATTGTGTATTAAGTGACAAGGAAGGGTAATACAAAAGTTAAGCCATTGTCGGCCATATGTGTTAAATAATTGGCGTCAACAGAAAGGCTACCTTGCAAAATAAATGTATCCTTATCATTTGATTCATCTTCAGCTCTAGTCCAAAATTCAAGCCTAAAATACTAGTAATTAATAAATAATATAATATCACATGTTTGTAAAAGGGGGTTATATTTTTACAACCGGTTGATTTAAGCATTGAATACTAAGGATACAGCTGCAACTTTTGATAATGGTTTGTGACATCTGGTTGTAACCGCCTTTGCGACTACTTTGTTTCCTTTTTTTGGATTGCGACATGAAATACTATTACTATGTATCAAATGCCACGCTTATATAGTAATGTTCCCAATTTTCTTGCAGTAATATGAAGGTTTTTCCTGTAATGTACTTTCATTTGAATTTGGTCTATATAAATTTATCATTATTTTTACTATTTTACATATTATAAGTCAATAAAGCCTCTTCTTTAGCTTTAATCAACCTCTCTTTTTAAAAGTTTCATTACTATAAATACTCAACAAGGTGAGGAGTTCTTCCAATTGACAATAAAATTATTTTAATATTTTCATTCAACTTATTCACCACTTCCTCAATTATCTCTACCATTTTGAGCAAAACATCAAATTAGCTTTAGATATAGGCTTAGCTTGTACTCGTAAACAATTATCACAATTTCCACATAGAAGACTTGGATTATTATCATTCCATGCGAAATATTTCACCAGCATATACAGTTCACTCTCTCTATAATGGACCATCTGGTTTAGTATTAGGAAAAAACGTCTGTTATAGAGAGAATCTGTGATTGACAGTGATAATTTATATATGGGATATATAAATTCTCGGTCCATTATAGAGCAAGATCCGTTATATAAAGATCTATTATATAAAGAATGGACTGTATTCCCTACAAGTATATTGATCCCGCAAAAAGTAAACAACTTCAAATATTTTTTCCTCTTGATTTAACCAGATAGGCTTGACTTTTATCTATTCAGAATTTCCTTGTATTATAATTTTACATTTACAAAATCAAAACACTTACAAATCTCTTCCTTGTATTATAATTGTATAATTAGTGCGAGAACAATATATAGAGTTGCAGATGAGAACGATTGTTTTAATTGTTGTGATATGGCGAGGGTGATGATAGTAATTTAGTAAAACAAATATTTAATAAATCAAATTAAAGGTTTGACAGATTTTGCAGGATTATCACCCTATTTCTTGCGTGAATATTGTCTATCATAGAAAGATAACATCGATCAATTCGTTTTTGAAAAAAGTTTCTTGACTTGATTTAGAAATATCTAATGGACCGTGAGTGCTATTTTTATTAATGTTATATATATAAGAAATAAACACATTTATTTATTTTAGGATTCCACACTGGATAAATATTTGTTTTAAAAATCAAATAGAACAGTATATGTTTTAATTAGCAGTTTGAGATCTAAAATAGTTGTATTGGAAAAAGAATGTAAGTCATGATTAATATAAAATACCCTTTCTCTTTTTTACTATTATTACTAAAATAAAAATTAGGGAATTAATTTAATCTCATTTTATAGACATGTAGATATTAATAAATAAACATTCAATGTTTGTGACTTTTAAGTAAGTTAAAATAAAATTTGCAATTTTAACTCAAGCATTTGCTAGCTTAATTAGGCATTTGTTAAGTATTTAAACCTTGTTAATAATATAAATCTTTTATTTTTTAATATTAACTTTTAATTTTTTGCATATAATTAAAACTAAAGTACATGGTGATATGTTTATAAATAAATAATAAAAATAAGTTCATATCTTATATCGTGAGAATTTTTATATTCAATTTTGTAATCAAGGTTTTTCACTAAAATCAATTTTTTCGAAACCTTTTTCGCCTAATAACATTAATTTTTTACCATCTATTTTTATCCATTTTGGTGAACCAACTATGCTCGCCTCTCCATATCCTTGTGCATTTAATATTGCTCTACCAAGATCCATTTGCCGAACAACAAGTCTAATTTTAGTCAATGAATTGAAAGAACCAACATTCATAAGACTTGCCAAAAGTATACAGAATATAATAATTAGTCCAATCATGGCCACAAAATATTGTATAGCAAAACGTGGATCATAGCATGTTTTTTCCATCGTAAATTGAACAGTACCAACGATTTTAGCTTGGTTGGTAGGAGTCACCATGTTGATCATAATATCATTCCACTGGCGTTGATACATACCACTTATACCTTTTTCAGTTAATCCATTTTCTTTCCATTGTTGCAATAAACCATAGTTTCCGATACCATTTCCATGATAACCAGTTTTATCATCCATAAGGCTACGTATCTTGTCTATTGCCATAGCAGGAGCAGAAGCAGCATTTGCATCGTAACTAAAACCCCATATGTTATTACTGCTACCAAACAAGTTAGAAGCTCCTGCTGGTAACAAAAGAGTATTTTCACTTACTAATAAACTATTATTAGGAAGTTTTTCTCCAAATTCAACTCCTCCCCACCAAGGATCCATGTCAGTAATATTAAGGACACCCTTTTCAATATACCATTGTGCTGGAATGGTTTGCACATCTGTTACATTAATTGCTCCTGCTGTGCTAGATTGCAAGTTGATAGTCTTTACACTTGCTTCAACTACGCTAGCACAGCTGTAAAAAGTTTGTTCAGTACCTCGTGTAGTTTGTATGGGAAATCCAAGTAATGTCCAGCAGTTAACACCGACTATATTTTCTGAAATATTGTCAATTCCAGTATATCCTTCACACCGAACTTCAGCATCCCAGATAAGTGTATCATTAAATTCAACACCCATATTGAAATTTCCACTTAAGCTTCTTGAATCAACAGTTTTTGGCTCAAAAAAATTAGTGAACAGAACTGGTGACTCAAAAAAGGTCCCATTTGCTGTCATATTTAATCCTTCCATAAGAAGATCTTGTATCATCCGACTATACATAATGCTTCTTGTTGGAAGATCAGTTGATTGGCCTCGATCGCCAATTGGATTTATACCCAATGAATTTATATCAGTGTTGTTGATAACTACATAGCCTATCCATTCACTCTGAAAGTCAGTACCATTTTTCCATGAAATCATCGTAAGATTTGTTGAATGACAACTGACGTGCTGTTGCAGCCACATGCCTTGAATTGACCAACTAAGACTCCCGTTGGCTTTTAAATTGGGTTGGATTACATTATTTACTAAAAATCCACCATTATCATGATCTACAACCATTGTGTCAATAATTCCATAACCCTCTTTCCGTACACTTGTTGTTACACTCAGCATCATAAAATCATGGGAAGGATACGAAATATTATCATTGCTACTAGTTTTCAACAGACGATATCTCATTGCATTGTTACTGTATGTTTTGTTAAAGTCAATTGCATATTCTTCATCTACATACAACCCACCTTTCGTTCCTGGGCATGGGTGGTAGACAACTACACCACACACCCTAATTCTTGTTAGCTCCTTCAAAGAAAATGTGTTATTAACTGCATTACTCAATAATGGATCAGCCTTAATGACATCAACCTCAACAGACGTTATATCATTTGTCACTGCACACGTAGAAATACCAAGTGGTGCAATAGCTGATACTCCAAATAATGCTATTAAAGATATTCCAATGAGTAAGTAAAGTATATTACGTTTATATGATCCCACACCCCATAATAATAATCTAATTCCTGTTAAAATAGGTTGTCCACCTGCTCCATAAATGTTAAGCAGACTTTCTCCAATCACTTTACTTAAAGTTGTCCACTCTAAAGCAGTCATTTTATTATTGATGCTCATTAATATTGATATGACGCCAAACACACTAATAATAATTGGTAGAAGAGCACTTAAAATACCAATCAGTCCAGCTAATTGACCAACACTCAATTCAATTATCAACATTTTTAGGATTTAAAGATTATAAAAAACCGTGTCACAAACTTGTGCGTAAATGGTTTGTGTTATTATTATTTATTTATTTATTATAAAATAACAAAGCCGTGATAGATTATTATTCACTTTGATTACAATAAATAAATGGATTTATAATTCGACTTGCTAATTCTCCTTATATACTGTTTGTGCTGCGCCACAATTTTTTTCGCGGTCATATTAGTAGGCAGGAAACAATAGAAAGAATAGGAAACTCAAATTTAAAGTTTTTTGTTTTTTATAAACATTTGTGGTCATGAGATCTAGAATTAGAATTTTATATGGAAATGAAATACTTTATCTGCATTTTGTTTATGCGTAGATTTAAATTTATAGTATCACATCCAATTCAAACTCCCTCTAAATTCATGAACTTGAGATAAATCTAAAACCTGTGTTATACTATAATTATCCCCCGTGTAACCTCATTTATACCATTTTTCAGTTTGTACTTATACCCACTAGAAAAATTCAAGCTCAG